AAGTAGAAAATTGGTTTAATGAACATTCCCACATGACTGTTGCAAGAAATCATACTAATATAGTGCGCTCGTAGCATATGTTTAGGATAAGGAAGAGAGTTCTTAATACCACTCACGCACTGTAGGTGGAAAAATATAAGAGATGGAGACTAGTAGGCTGGTTGCTCGAAAATTCACGAAGCTTAGAAATAACTGAACTTGCCGAGATGCCGAATCAGTGACGATAAGTGTAATCACCCATGAACCGTTCATACATGACGCCTCCTGATGTCCAAAAATTCCATTAAAAATAATCTTGAAATCTTTTCTTGGTGTTTGGACGCGGAAAAACTCAAAACCGAGCAAAAACTCATTGTCCCTCTACGTCTGCATTCTCCGACCAATTCATCATTTTTATGATAAAATCTACTTCTATGAACCTCGACAACGTCTTGGTCCGTTTTAATAAACTGCTATAATATTGTTGCTCCTTCCCACATATCCAAAATCGCGGACATCATTCACCATCATTCCCCTTATCCTGTAACGACAACAATTATATGACCTACAACTGACCGAATTCCGCATTCTGCATTCTCCGCCTTATTTGTTTTGAAGAAAAATGGTACTCAGTCTCACTCGGCCAAATTTCTTAACTGGGGCGATCATGGTAACTCGGTTCCAGACCTCGCTGCCAGCCCCTCCTGGAACAAAGTCTCCTTCGATCTTCCTAGATAAGTCGGGAAGAGGAAGGAACCTCTGCCGACATCCTCGACAATTCTTATTGAGCATGCTCCAAATTCAAATTTTTCTGCGACGTCAATCAAACCGTTACCGTAGCATCCTCTGTGTTTGTCAGCAAATGTAAATGTTAGCGGGAATGTACTGGTTTTTTATCCCTTCCTTAGCTGTGTTTTCTCTGGATTTGGAACCTCTATAGGAACAATTTCACCTTTGGAATCTAAACTTGCCATGTTTCAGTATAAAGAAGATTAAAAAATGTCAGAGCTAAGGTAAAACTTACGGTGCTTTTCAAAAACAAAGCATTTAACCTTGAAACACAGAAACACAGAAAACGGATCGAAATCCACCAATCACAAATCACGAACGACGACCTTTTGTTTCCTAAGAGGTTCGCTAAGGCCCAGTTCAAACGTCGAATTTCACATGTGCCGAATTTAATTGCTATTTTAGTCGACTAAAATAGTTAAATACGGCATTTGATTCAAACGTCGAATTTATCTCACTGAACTCTGTCGAATTTAACTCTCTTCGCTGTCAATATTCTCAGTAATATAATAATAATTTACTAAATTAAATTCATTCATTAAGTTCGGCACATGTGAAATGCGACGTTTGAGTCAAAAGTCGAACCTAAGTCGAATCTTCGACTGTTTCAGTCGCAGATACGGCAAACGTCTCATTTAATTTAAACAGTCGAATTTAATTGATTCAAACGTCGCACTTCACATGCATTTAACTCTCGCGTTAAGTTCGGCACATGTGAAATTTGACGTTTGAACCGGGCCTTTTAGATGTATAAAAAGCGAGAAAGCGAAGAAAGCGCCGCTTCTTCAGATTTTGATTGACGTCGTAGAAAAAAACAAAATCCAAAGACGTTTTTGGCATCGCGAGTCGGGTGTTATCCACAAACAGCTGTAAAAGCATCGATCATTTAAATACAACATGGATTCTGTAGCCTCATGATCTTATTTTGAATTAATGTTATAGCAAAAAACCTCGCGTAACATGACTTACTGGATTGTGGATCCGTTCACGCAAGTAAAATCGGCTAAGTACATGGTTAAATCCAAAACAAACTCCATCTCGAATCTGGGTACATTCTCCAATTTTCTGAAACTGAACGTTCAGTCTGTAATTTTCTCAAAATTCCCGCATGAAATTGAAGCGGCAGCTATTTGTTTTGCTATGGAGCGTGGGCGCAGAAAGAGTTAGCAAAATTCCAGAATATGCGTGCGTGCACAGATACAACTGGTTTATCCAGTATAAAACTTGTCTGACTCATCCAAAAAGCTGGATGATCGGCAGATTAGAGGAACTTGAAGATGTCGGCAGAGTCGCTTCCTCTTTCCCGACTTATGTAGGAAAGATCGAAGCGACTCTGCTAGCAGGGTAGATCACTGAGTGTGTATATACTAAATTATGTTATTGAGCGGCTGGACGTCGGACCGTATTGAGAGAGACTGTGCCCGAAGTCGTGACGGCCGAGGGCGGTACTCAGACCGAGGGCACAGTCTCTCCCAATACGGACGGTCCGACCTAGGCCGGTGAATAACATTTTGATTTTTTTCCAACTGAGATTTAAAAGTTTCAGGAAAATTTTCCTTCACTCTCCAACCTCTGTGTGTTGAAGTAGGACGCGTTCGTGTTAATGAAGCGCGCGATCGATTGCAAACCAAAACAAATGATTTTTAGCTCGGTAATTTATATTATGGCACTTACTGCTCTCTTTTAGAATAAAGAAAGGTTTTTGTGTCTGGCTGGACAATTCATGCCCATAATCTTAGTGTCAAACAAGGATAAAAGAATTGAAGAGATTGATATTAAAAGCCGCAGGAAAAAATACAGCAAGGATTTTCTTCGGCTGAATAATTCTTTTGAATAATTCCTTTGATTAATTAGTTCAGTCGAGTGGGATGAAAACTGCACAAAGGCTTTGTAAAAATAGCTAATTACAAATACCAATTTTAGGGTTTTGAATTGAATTCCAATAAAAGAAGGCGATGTGAGTAACAAGTTATAAACAAAGAAATGAAAACGGCGATAACCGACTGCTGAAAAGTGATTCGTGTTGTTTATTTAAGATTGAGAGTTAAATACAATCGTTGACAACAACCTTTTCTGAGTAAGCAGAAAATTAGCGAGGCAAAATTCAATGAAAAACGGCAGAATCAAGATTCATACAGCAAAAATGTCCAATAAACGGTGCATAAAAGCAAGATTGCAGAACTTACAGGGCGGTTATAAAGCGCTAGCTAGTGAAGCGACATCATGCACGAGCCACCTGTTTTGCTTTACTTTAGCGGTTTTCCTGGCTGACTTGCTTGATTCTCCCTTCATATTTTTTGTCTGAATAAGAAAATTAACTTTTCCCTAGCTAATGCTAATAAGAGCGCAATTTTTAAGAGAAAAATGGTTTAAAAATGACGGTTTTTGCTCATTCACAAACAACAAATAAACTTGTGAATGACGCTGCCAACGATTCCCGCCCGGGTTAGCGGGCAAGATTGTAAAATACCCACCGCTCTCGGAACCAATCAGATTGCAGGATTTGGAGGATTCCGCCCACTCGCAAGCTTGGAAAAAAATAAATATATGTTATTCACCGGCTGGGAGGTTCGTATTGGGAGAAACTGTGCCTGAGGTCTTGAGTTACAGCGCGTTTACAAAGCTAGTGAAGCGACATCACGAGCCGACCGTTTTTCTTTTCTTAAGTGGTTTTCCTGGCTGACTCGCTGGATTCTCCCTTCACATTTTTTGTCTGAAGAGTAAAATTCACTTTTCCCTTGCTAATGCTAATGATAGCGCAAGTTTTAAAAGAAAAATGGTTTAAAAGTCACGGTTTTTGCTCATTCACAAACAACAAACAAACTTGTGAATGAAGCTGTCAACAATTCCACCCGGGTTAGCGGGCAAGATCGTAAAATACCGCCCGCTCAATCCTGCAATCAGATTGCAGGATTTAAAGGATTCCGCCCGCTCGCCTGCTTGAAAAAAAAAGAATGTATATGGAATAATGATAATAATTCATCATCATCATCATCATCATCATCATCATCATAAATGAAAAAATGTTAAGCTATTTGCAAACAAATCGATTTTATTGATTTGTACACCTTATAATATAGAGTACATAAGGAAGCTAGTCAACAATAAGGCGTTCAATTGGATGAAGATGAGTATAGCATAAAGCATTATGCAGGTTGAGGAGGGTGCTAGCGGTGGATAACACCCCTCCCGGAGAATTGCATAATTTCTCCAGATCATATTTAAAGAAAGTCGAATCTGATGATATTTTTTATTTATTATTCTTTTATTCAGGATCATTACTGCCTGTAAGCGTGGCAGACGTTTGAAAGAAAAGGGGAAGGGGATTCAGGGCGTGCGAGAAGCGCGAAGGGAAAGGGAATTTGCGCGTGGTCTCGGCTCGGGCTCAAATTTCCTTCTTCTTCCCTTTCAAACGCCTGCCACGCAGGCCGCGAGTACCCACGCGTTAGAAAACGTGTAGAACCTGCGTATGTGGGGAATCGTTCTGGTGCTCAGGGGCTAATATCTACTGCGCTTGGATCTCGCCCGAAATTATCCCAGCCCTATTCACCATTTGCAGATCTCCCATACTTTTCCCCTTCCCCCTCGTCCGCTGGAATTTTATTTGCCAAACGAAACATAAATAGAGCCTGGGTGCAGCTAGCCTGTGTACAGACGCACCCTACCCTCAGAAAAATTCGTGAATCGCCTTCGTTAATCGTGTTCCGATTTCCCCGGAACGTGGGGGAAAGCCTCTGATTGGTTGTGATGTTAATGCCATGACGCAAGCAATTTCCGGTGTTGTGATTGGTGAATGAATCTCAGAATAGATTCTCCGAATTACCGATCCATAAAAAAATTGTAAGAAGTATGAAAAGCCCCGTGCAAACGGACGCAACATTGTTGGCCAACAACACCCAACACTGTTGGATGTTACATGTTACGTCCATTTGCACACCCTGTTACATGTTGTTTCATGTTGCTGCGCAAACTTTTAAACCGGTCAAACTTTTAGCCGCGTGCAAACAGGCGCAACAACTCCTAACATTGTGGGCGAACAATGTTGCGAGTTGTTGCGTCCGTTTGCACGTAGCCTAAAAATTGAAGTCATTAATCGGTATTTACTAAAAATGTATTATAAATGATTTTTAAAATTAGTTCCAAACGAGATAAAAGCACGAGGACCAAGAGCAAAGCTTGCCTATGAAAATGCTCTGAAGAAAGGAAAAGTGAAAGTTTACCGTACACGAATCATGCTGATAGGTCAAGATCGAGCGGGAAAGACAAGTTTAAAGAAGTCATTCCTTGGTCTTCCATTTGACCCTGAAGAAAAGAGTACTGACGGAATCGAAGTAGATCCATCGAAATTCGAAGTGGACATCGATCAGGTGAAGAAATGGAAACGGACTGATGAAAAGTTTGGCTTGTCTCAATTCGCTTCCGATATTGCAAAGATGGTTGCTGAAGAACTCCAAAAGGATGAAGACGAAGGAATAGAAGATGAGGGAAAAGATGACGAAGGCAACGAAGACGAAGGAGAAGGAAAGTTGAATCTAGCCCAGGTATTAAATTTTAAGACTACAGAACAGAGTCACATATACAGAGTTAAAGAGGCAGAAATAGAAGTATCTTCGTTGAATATCACGCACAAATTATTTTGCATTGGCTTGTCAGATTATTCTCATTTAAAGTACAAATCAACTACTTAAAACTAGCATAGCAGTTATTCTGTTTCCTTATTGTCTCCAACTTTCATATTTTCGTGTATAACAAACGCTAACATATTTGTATATTTCAAATACATTGTTAGTTACTGCTGTTCACTTGAAAATGAAACTTGGAGACAATATCCTTGAATAATGAGAGGCTCTCTCTTGTTAAGAAGAAACTTCCGGTAAAAAAATTAGCGAATTGTAGGCCTTATTTTACAGCCTCACGATATAGCAATAATCTTGAGACTCAAAGGTCTCCTAAAAACGACATTTAATCTCGAGAATGTTATTAAAAAAAAAAAAAATCCATCGAGCGTTTTAAAAATTAATCGCAAATTTGTTAAAGTAGACCAAAATGTGTATAAAACCGATAAGAAGAGCGCCTCAATATAAACATACTAACCAAATCCTTCTTTCTAGCAATCGGCTGGAGCTATCTCCATGATCTTTCACAATTGAAACTACTATGAGGTGAAATTGCATGTCAAAAGCGCTTCGTTTTCTATAGATAACAGCCGAACATCAAGATTGTCCATTTTTTACTGTATTTCTAACCATAAAACTTCATTCCAAAGTATCTCGATAACGCTCTAACAGATTCCGCTTAAACTTCACGAAAATCGAGGCGGCTTTTGGAGGAAAAGGCTCCCGTGAACGATTTTGGAAGAACAGTTCTCAGTGCCGTGAAATATCGCTACAAGTAAAATAGGTAATGGCGTCATTTCGTTGCAATGACAACTCCGATTTCAAAGCAACTCTGATGATAACAAATTTTCATCTTTATTTAATACGATTGTTGTAGCAGTTCTTTTTCCAAATCTTTGTTTATGGTGACGTAGTTTTCTGAAATTAACGCCTTATATCTTTTTATACAAGCACTCTTTTAGAATTCCACTCACTAGAGAGAAGTGTGACGTCACGTTGCCATAGTAGCAAAATTTTTGGATCACAACAATAGGGAGCTTAAGGTGGCTCCCTAGAGTAAATTTGCCGTGCGCAGCCTGGTCACTAGTATGGCGCGAGCTTTAAAATCCGCGCAACGTCCACGCAAAAATTAAAACAAACATGGCCTCTCAGTTTCGAAATATTTTCCCCAAAAATTTTCATTACCTTTCTGTTGAAGTTCATTGTGGAAAAAGTTTGGTTAGTAGTTCAAACATTTATGAGAGGAGACAATGTTACACCGGTTACAAGTCACATAAGAGTAAATTGTATGTAAAAACAAAGCAGAAATTTTCCAAAGACATCAATTCTTTCGCTTCAAAAGTACACAAACTTTAAATAGTCGAAGTAAATGGTGAGTGGAAACTTTACTAAGAAAACAAAGAAGTAAGCACACCTACCCAGAAGGAAGCAATGTTGCTGTTTCTGGCCTTTGGTTCACGGTCAGTGGAAAGATCTGAAAGATCGAGCCAATTCCCGAACAAACACTGAAGATTGTCTTCACTGGCAGAGCTCGTCGGTCACTTTATTTCTCTTACATTTGATTTGATTTAAGTAATTCTAGAAGTGGCTTTAAGACAAGATTACAGGGAGTGTAAATTTTTTTTCTTTTTGCCGACTCTATCACATTGTTTAAAAAACGTATCAGAAAAAAGGCTTCCCACTTAACTTGCATCCTAATCGAAGGAACCTTTCCATCGACGAACCAACCTCCTTGTACTTTTTCTTGTTTCAAACGTCCTTCAACGCACATGCAAGATGTACTAGAAAATGTTTTTGCACAACGAGAAAGAATATTTTATTAACAGATTGACCCTTGACGAAAGCAATAGTTGTCCGTCGAGACCTACGGTCTTGTACGTGTAGCTGAGAACATGATGTACGATTTATAGATAGGGGCCATCTTCTACAGCAGACTTTTAGAGAAAAACTTCGCCGTCGAAATTACCCCTAAAGAAGAACAAGGCTGAAGAAGTATTCGGAAATGGGCTGACCTTTGAAGATCTGCAAACAGTGTACAGCAGATAAGGAAATGAAGGACTTATTGCGATCCTTGCAAAAACACCGTCTTCATCTCCGACGATCGCTATCCTCACGAGTGACCACCACGGTTCGAATTTTTAATGGCTACAATAGTGAAGTACTTCGAAGAAAACGTCCTGTGTTAGGTATAAAATTGAATCCGGTATCTCTCCTTTTTCAACTGGCAAGATACCACCGTAATAATACTAATAAACGGCTTCAAAACAATGGTGTTCGTACTCTTTAACGAAACCACATGTTTTCAGTAGCTTTGTGCATTATGCGCATGCGCGCGTGATGGCTCTCGCGCGTATTTTGCTCATACGATCCCGAACTACGCTTGTTTTTCGATTTTTGTGACGTCAACGTAATTAATTGACCGTGAATTTCTCGCGTTTCCTTCGGTATTTTTTTTAAATCGCCTCATTTCTTAACAGTCGCAGTACCTTTGTACTGTCCTTTTTTTGTTAAAATCTGTAAGAGCTAAATTCCTCCAGTACAAAAAAAAAAATTTCAAAATATTGGCAAAACCGTCTTAACGACCCCATGTTTTTTTCCACTTTAAAATGCCAAGCAATATCGTTAATATAAAGTGGCAAAGTTTTAAGACATTTCACCGAGGGAAATAAGAAATATTGAGAAAAAATGATCAAAAATGACAAAATTACTGCCTGTCTAAGGATGCGATGTTGCCATGGCAACGGCCTTAATCCAGAAAATGAAACTTGATAAAGGAGCTTCCTTATATGGGTAAACTTAGCGGTGAATCTCGTGAACAAAATCGCAAAGACAAAGTAACTAGATTTCGTTCTTTAACGTATGCTACATAGCTAGGGTTATTAGTAAATACTCCAGGGAGCCACCTTAAGCAACGACGGCGGCAACGCCAACAAGAACGGCGAAAAGAAATAGTTTTATTTTAACAAAACAACGAGTTTGCACGTCCATGACACTTTTTGGTACATTTCTTAGCTGGTGTTGAAAGTTTTGTTTTTCATTAGCGGGTAAGCTGCAGGGAAACTTGATTATGTAAGCCTGTAAAATGCAAATATCTCTAGAACAACTACCCTATGATTGTCATTTGCAGTTTTCGGAGGGCTTAGAATTTTCTCTTGTGTGTTTTGATAGAACTTTTTAAGGGGATATTTAATTAAAGTTACACTTGACCGGCTCATTTGCTTTGCGAAAACATGTAAATATATTTTCGCCTGTATAGTATACAACTCTCCCAATCTGAGGATCAAAACTGAGAAAACAAGAACAAGCTCTCTTCTTATTTCAAGAGGAAGCTTAATAACGATCGAATAAATTAAGGAAGCAATTTTTGTGATAAAAGTGCTGTTTTGATTGTCGAAGAAACGGGTAAATAAAGCAAAATGATTATATGCAGTTTTAGGATCGAAACTATATTTCTAAACATGTTAACTAGCTATTGACTGTTGGATTGTAAATGATGCTTTGAATAATTTTGGTTTTGCCTGCTAATTAAATTAACATTTCAGTCAACTTCTGTCCTTCGTTTAAACAATATTTTAGCCTGTTTTTGTTTTCTATTCCAAACTCAATAATATGCAGTTCGAAATAATATTCAATCAATTCGAAACTTTAATTGTCCATTACTGTTAAGATCCCCCTAAACCCAACAAGGGGGACCGTATAAGTCAGTTTTGCAATGTAAAACTGAGTCCAGGTTTCATTATAACAGAATACTTTTAGCTCGATGGGAGAGTCTATTCAGTTCAGATGTGTGTGTGGGATATTCTATTCTTAATCAAATGAAATCCTTCCTCAAATAATAAATTAAAGGCTCCAAATGTTAAGTAATAAAAGGGAGCTTTGCGTTTAGCCCTAGCTAAATCCATATATCAATATATATTGTAATGTCGTCCGTCAAAATCCAGTTGAGAAGGTGGTTCCCTGTGCAGATAGATAAGTGAGGACTGTGGAAGTAAGGGCGAAAGTAGCAACGCTTAAATGGCCCGTGACCAATGAGTTGTAACTTCATTTTGAGTTTTCCAAGAAATCGCCAGTAATTAAGGACACAAAGTCTGATTATTTTGTTGTAGTAGTTATGAACCCCCTATATCAAAGCTGAAAGTTCGAATTCATGATTGGGGGCGGAGTGTTCACTAAATGGGAGCCGCGTCTTCAGGAAATTTACTTTATCCATTTTGAACTGTAGCCTCAAAGCGATCATTTCTTTTAAATTTGTTTCTTGCAGCGAATTCTATTGTACTGACCTGTACCGTGTGTAGAAGTGAAGAAAGGTCGGGAGATAATAAGATTCGACGTAATAAGTTCACTTAGAATTTGTACACGGAGCCTGGTGTCCTCTTGTAAAAGGACTGACAACCACACTAGTCAAACTTTATATGTTAATGCCACACTTCCGCCGTTATTAAAGTCTGGTCCCTGACCCTTATGTAACTTGATTTAAGTCCCCAAATTTTCGACTAACAGTATCTTTAAGATCATTAGGTTTCCATATGCGGTTTTTACATTTAAGGATAAAAAGCAACGCTATTAATATACGACGTTTCGGCGACGACATGTCACCATTATGAATACAAATGAAAGAGACTATGAACCGATATATACAGAAAAGAAAGTGTCAAACACAACATTAAATTTGAAGAACAAAGGAATAAAATAATTAAGTGAACAGTTTTGCTGGAGTAGAGTCGGTTTGAGTGTTCAAGGATGGTTCTTTTCCTCAATTAACAACATCTCATAAATGAGGCACTCAAACTTTCCTCTGCATTTCTGAAGGATCTTAAAACGTTCTTGGAGATTAGTTGGCTGTTATTGGTGTTTTTCTTTTTCGGAGTATCTGTGCTTGTCAATGCGTAGATGGAGGTGGCGGCTTGTGTATCCAATATAATTCGCATCATACGAATTACATTTAACGTAAATATGAAGAATAACGATTTACTAGTAGTGTAAGTTTAGAATGGTCTCTTTATAAAAATCATTTGATAAATGTAAAGAAACTGTTATCCCAGTTTAAGCTGCGTAAAGAAAAGCCTGAATTTGAAAGCCTGGAAAAATTCACTCTTGCGTGCACTTGAACCCAGACCTCCGTGATACAGATGCAGCACTCTAACCAATAGACCCTATTCACGGCACCCGCTATCTTTGCACGCGCGTTAAGGACTGAAGGGATAAAAGCAATGTCACGTGATTTCTCAGGGCGCAAATAAGTGAAAAAAATTGTCAATGGAAGAAGTCACTGTTGAGTTTGTTTATTATAGACAACAGGAAATGAAGACCTTTTCATCTTAAAAACGATAATGTCAGAGTATGGGTGGAAGTGATCATTGTTACTTTTTTGTATGCAAGATCGACCGTAGATGATAATAATAATAATAATTTATATAGCGCTATTCAGCTACACTTTCATAGCGCTTTACAATGATTATGTTAATCATTAGAACTTAAAAAGCTAAAAAATAAAATAAAATACCCAGATAAATTAGTTACAACTCTTAAAAGTATATATACATTGTACAAGAAATGAAAGTTAAAAATCTAAAATCTAAAAATACTAACTTGAAGATAAAATTACAGATAATAAAAGAAAAAACGTGTATTGAGAATAGAAGTTAAAAATCATAGGCTTCTTTAAAAAGATAAGTCTTCAAATATCTTTTAAAAATAGCGATTGATGGAGATTTACGAATGTTAAGAGGCAAGTTATTCCGTTGCCTTGGCGCAGCAATGCTGAACGCCCGATCTCCATAAGTCTTTTTTAATTTAGCCAGTGGCACAGTGAGCAGTTCTTGCCCGCTGGAGCGTAAAGACCGACAGCACCTACGTTGGCTCAGGAGACTAGAAATATAACGACAAGTTCAGTTTTGTCTTGATTAAGTTTCGATAGGTTTTTACACATCCAAAGGTCTATTTCTTCAACACAGCGCCAACGCGCAACTTTGCCTCATCAAGATCAGCACAACAATCAGTATTGAAGGAAATATATTGTTGCGTGTCATCAGCGTACAGATGGTATAGTAAGTCATGCTTTTTGATGATATCAGCAATCGGCGCAGCATAGACAATGTACAGCAGTGGGCACCCCACACAACAACGGTCGCTTTGATGACATACCCTCTTCTACCTTAACAAATTATTGCCGGGAGGTTAAGTAGGACTTAAACCAGGCCAATACAGTGGCTTCCCCCCAAAACGGTGCGAGAGTCGAGATATTTGTATTGCATAATCCACCGTGTCAAATGCTGCAGAAAGGTCTAATAAAAGTAACATGACCGACTTGTTTTGATCCAAAGAACACAAGATGTCTTTTTGTACTCTAAGTAGTGCTGTTTCGGTTGAGTGAAATTCTTTGCATGTTGCCTGAAACGTATCGTTAAGATGGTTGGTCATAACATGTTTCGTCAGTTGAACTGCAACAGACTTTTCAACCAGCTTAGAAATAAACTTTAAATTTGAGATTGGCCGAAAGTTTGGCCGAAAGATGTGTTTATGGCAAACAGTATGTAATGACGTAAATCTTGCTAAAAACTCTGTATGTACATTTTGCTTGACTATGAAATCGTCGTCTCGTTTTGATAGAATAAACAAAATCGACCGCGATTACTCGTATTGGCATATTTTATCACTTGTTTGCCTCCTGAACTATCACGTGACATAGCTTTTATCCCATCGATCCTAGAGCGCGTGCAAAGATGGCGGGTATCGTGAATAAGGTCTATTGAGTTAGTAAGCCAACTGGGAGCTACTCATTAAGTCTATTGGTACGTAATGAGCCGGGAAAGATGAAGATGTACTGATAAATATGTTGTAGTTCATTTTTATCGCAGTTAATTTTTATTTTTCCATTGTTTTTGGGTATGGTGACGAATGCTAATGAATTTGAAACAAAAGAAATATAAAAACTAACTCAAATAAAAAATTAACTGCAACAAATATATTTGTTACGCGGTTCAAATATATGAAATAAATATATTCAAAGAATTTTTGACGCTTTCTTTTCGTAACTGCATTTAACGGCGATGAAATTGCTATTTATTTCTTGATTTCACTGTTAGAATATATGAAATTTATATATTTATTATGACTAAAAAAATCATTTGGTTGATTCATCATCCTTACTGCCTGATCTTCTAGTATGGTGACGCTCTTGGAGAACTTCATGAAGAAGAAGCATCCGTGGTTAATTCTCAAACTAGTCAGGTCAGTTGGAATTCTTTTATATTTCAGTTGTATTTGAATTACCTGAAACACAATTAAATGGTTGTTCAAATAATCTCTCAGAGGAAAAATAATCATCATCATAATAATAATATTAGTTTATTTGAGAATAAACCATGAAAATCCTGTAGACATATTAAATTCTGCAAACAGAATACTGCAATGCTCATCGTACTACGTGAAAATTAACTTTGCAATACATCAACACCACACTGAAAGAATGCAAAACAGAGCAGGATTGTAGCCATAGACAGCTGTTTCGCTATTATTGTAGCTCATCAGTATAGCGTAACAAACAGAGAGAGGGGCTCTGCTAAAAGATAATCCGCACACTCTGATTTAAGCCTTAACCTAGAACTACCAACACCCACAGAATCGCGCCATATCACGTGATCCTGGAGGGAAAAGTCCAAGTGTCAAGTTATTGTCTCGCAAAGAAAATGTTGCAAAACCAACCTAACTTACAATTAATTTGACAATTGACAACTCCTTTCGATTTAAAAAAAACTTAGTTTTGATAAGAAAAAATTTATTTCATTCAAAAGAAATTATTCGAATTAAAAAAACATTTCATTTCAATTAAATTTTAAAAGAAAAATCAACGATAAAAAATTAAGTAACACGACGTTTCGACGACTCCGTATCATCATTATCAAATGCAAAGAAAATTAGCATGAATTGGTGATATATATATATATATATATATATATATATATATATAGAAAAAAGAAAGTGTCAGGAATATGTTGAGTTAAATTGAGGTGCGAAAATGGAGCAAACTAGCAATTAAATAAAAAGTTTCGCCCGGATGGAGTCCGCTTGAGTGTTTTTAAATGTAGGTATTTTGTTCCTGATGATAAGCATTTCGAAGATCAAACACTCAAGCTTCCCTCGGCATTTCTTGAGGACCTTAAAGTTTGTGTTAAGATTCATCCGTTTTAAGTTGTGTTTTTCCAAGAAATGCTTGCCAATCGGTGAGGGTAAAGGGCGGAATGAGTTTGCGGAATGGCATGTGGCATGGCTTGCGGAATGACATAATTATGCGGAATGTAAAATCTGGAAATTGGCGCAAAGAAATAAATTAAACTGAAAGGCATGCGCGCGTCATTGCCGCGCCTTTTTTGGCGCCAATTTGAGTGAGCAACTGCTTTACTGGTTCACGCATTTAGACATTTATCTAAAACATACCTGAGAATTGGCTAAGGTTCTTGAAGGCAGTCTCCAAAAGAAAACATTGAAGTCCGGTAAATATAGTGAGGCGTGACCAAAATAACTTAGTTCCCTCGATTGTAAAGTAACAAGACGAAATATCTTCTTTTTCCGTTATCCTTAGCGAAACCCTTATTTTTCGATAGAAAGTGAGTACCAGAATACTTGTGCCTTTGATTTTTTGCTTCTTCAAAATACTGTCGGCACCGAAAATGTTTAATACTCCTTCGATCAAGAATTAAGTTCCGTTACTACCTTGATTTCGTGACTGTCATTTTGACAGCTCCGTCTCTTCAAACGTGCGTTGTGCCACGTGCAGTCACGGAACAGACTGTCACGCAGAGTCGCCGGCAGGTAAAGTTCAGTGTTTCAAAATGGCTAAAATTGACCCAGTTTCACCTTTTTATCTTATTTTTTGATTGAAAAAAGCAATTTTGCAAAGGGAAAACCTACAAGACGTACGAAAAATGAGCCTTTCGGCTATAAATATCTATGTGCGTTTCGATTTACACAACACACAATACAGACAATTACCGCCAGCCTACCATGTAAATTCCTGAACTTCGATGGTGTCTCACAGAGATTTCCTTCACTCCCAGGTATGTTTTAAATGAATGTCTAAATGTGTGATTTAAATAGCAAGAAGGGAATTTGGAGTTATACCACATGTTAAATATTGCCGTCGAAAATGAGTAACGAACTTAAATTTTTGTTATCCTGAAAACCTATCCCTCATTTTTAAAATTATTTCAGTACGACCAGCTTTCCTATTGTCCAGAAAGTATCTTCTAGTGGAAGGAAAAGAATTTTTCTGTTCGTGGAAAGTGTCCAAATTTCTCCATCCAGCTTCGTTTGCGAACGCGAGGAAAGTTGATGTTTGTTTATAGCGAATTTCAGGTTAAAAATTAATGCAGTCCGATACTCCGACATCGAAAACCGATCTTCTATTTTTCTCACGAATAAAAGGCTTTCGGCGGGGACAATCTACGTTAGGTTTCTTATATACCTAAAAGCTATCTATGAACAAAAATGAAAAAAATTGATTTTTCAAATCTTGCCACGAAATTAACATTTTGGTCGATTTTTCTGTTTCGCACGTCTCAAGCTCGCAACTGAGGAATTCGATTCATCTCTGAATATTATCAATGATGTCACGATCACGTAACCCACAGTCTCATAAACAAACTTCTCACACGGTTTCGAATACAAATATAGGTAACAAGGAACTGTTAAGTTAATCGTACAAACATCTTTTGCAGAAAAAAATAAAGTAGAAGGGAGCGTGACCTGTGCGGAAAAGGCTGGTCGACAATGAGCCTTCCTGGTTTTTTTTTTTTTATTGTCATCGTATGTAAAGCCCGCGACATTAAAACAGCGGCTGCGTTTGCAAATTGATTGGCGCCAAAAAAGGGCGCTCTTTTCAGTTTAATTTATTTCTTTGGATCATTCAGCTGCGTGTATTAAATTCCGCATAATTATGTCATTCCGTAAGCCATGCCACATGCCATTCCGCAAACTCATTCCGTCCTTTACCCTCACCGCTTGCCAATAACGGAACGTTTGTGTTCCTCTACACGCGGATGGACAAGTGACTGCACGTGTAACCGATCACATTTGAATTCGTAAGCAACATTCTGCTGTTTCACTAGCGTAGGCTTTAATTCCGTTTCTCGATTTTTTTGCTTGTAAAGATTGGCTACAAAGGATGATTGATCTTCCTTCAGAGGTCGCCCAACTGTCTCCATCCTTACAGGGCAAGGTAATCCGAAGGCGGTTGTCAGTGGGCGTGTGGTTCAGGTCTCGGGGGTGTTTGGCTCTGTTAATGGCCGTTTCAATGAGCTTCTTGAGATATTTTAATTTCAATAATATCCCTTTCAAGGTTTTACATTCCTGCAAGAAAAAATCTTGCGTAGACGACAATCGTTTCGCACGCTTTAGCATAGTTTTTAAGAGCGATCGTTTAAATGTGCCGTCCACGTGACTTTGAAAGTGCAGGAGAAGATCTTTGTTTGCGTTTTTTCTAAAGACGCAGGTTTCAAGATGCTGACCAGTGTTGAAAAAAAATTTTTCAATTTTTTTAAACTGTTTTTTTGCAAATTTTTCAGCTTCAGCCCAAGAGGGAAGCCTCTTCTTCCTCTCTGGGAGATCGGCTCGAAAAAAGATCCATAATTTCCCCATCAAATCGAGCCATTTGTGCCGGACTTCGAGGCACTTCTGGCTTAGCCTGCAGTGCAGGCGTATTTTTGGTGGGCAAAACCTTGTTCGTGTTCGTAATATTGTTGTAGCCGCCATCTTTGATTTTATGACAGTGGAAGATTAGGGAGAGTAGAAATAGTAACCCTTACGGTAGGCGCGAGGGCGAAAGAAGGAAAGGGGGGAGGGGGAGGAGAGAGAAAAAAATTTTTTCTCTTCTCTCTCCCGCCCCCTCCCCGCTCCCTTTGACTCGCCCCATCTCCTCCTCTCTTCGGGAAGTTTCAACATGGCGCTTTCGCGAGCAAATTGCGCGTTCAAAGAAAACGCCTGCACTGGAGGCTACGTCTGGCTTTCGTCCAGTGCCTGTGACCGCCGTTGCGCTTACCAACTAATTTGCATTATGACAGTTAGCACTTACACGACGGGTGCCAGGACTCACTTTTTGACATTGCAAGACCCTAGTTGACGTGTCATTTCCGCCCTTCCACCCGTCGTGTAAGTGCTAATTGTCATAATGCAAATTAGTTGGTAAGCGCAACAGTGGTCACAGGTACTGGACGAAAGCCATATGAGCCTCGAAGTCCGGCGCAAATGGCTCGATTTGATGGGGAAATTATGGATCTTCTTTCGAGCCGATCTCCCAGAGAGGAAGAAGAGGTTTCCGTTTTGGGTTGGAGCTGAAAAACTTGCAGCGGATTTGAATTTCGGCGAAAAAAAACCGCCATTCTCGTTGCAACTGGTCCAGGACCCTGCCACATCGAAGTGACCAGCCTTCACTTCGTTCTATGAAAGGAGTAACAGTGGTTACGCAAAAAGCGAAAAAAACCAGTAAAACGACAAACAGACACCAAAATGCAGTGGAATGCAGTGTTGACTGTAATGACCAAATAGAAAAGATTCCGCAGAACTAGTTCAAATTAAAATCTCGAAGATTTTTTGGAGATTGTGACTAAAGTGGTAAGCCAATGTTCCCTAATGTACCTATCCACATCAGCGTTACTGGTTTTGGTTGTGGGGTGGGTCACTAGTTGTTTCTGAGCCACTCCAGGGGTGGGCCGCCCAATTTTGTCAAATAACTCGCGGGTTGGCCACTGAAAACTAGTACTTAAAAAAAAAATTTCATAGCCCACCCCTCCCCCCCACCCGTACTTTATGATCGGTCCCTAAGTCTTTTTTATTCATTTCATTCCAGAAAAAGTAAGGTTTAGCGTTCTTTAGCGTTCGTAGATCTCAGTAATATATTTCTCATACAAAGTCTTTTATATTTTCAACGGTCGCCAGTAACGCGACACCGGCGCGTCACCTATGGTATGTAAATACATTGCACCCTTCCCTCGTAACGTGAGTTTGCGCCGCCTTTGTTGCCGCTAGAACATGGATGGTTTCATCTAACGGTACATTTGTGAATAGCGCTGTGACGTCATACGAGACAAGTAAATTATAATCGTCGAGTTCGAAGTGCTGAATATCCTTAGTAAACTCGAAGACATCCGTGACTGTATACTCATTAAGTGATAGAGGTTTCAATTTCTCATCTAGCCATTTAGCTAGGGCGTAATTGTATGTTCCAGTTGCAGATAGGATCAGTCTCATCGCAAGGCGTTCTTTGTGTGTCGTGGAAAGGCCATATAGGTGGACTAGTCGTGAACCCTTCTGGCAAACGAAGTCAGCTATTTCTTTCGGAAGAATTCTCCGAACGGCAGATTCTAGATGTTTTTCTTTCTTAAAGAGCGAGTGGTAATACTTTGGTGGTCTACCTCTCGTGCTTGGTCTCCGCTGGTCAACTTTCCTGAATTTTGTCTGGTCGTTGATGGATGCCTCACATAGCAACCGAGTGTATTCATTAAACTATTCGAATTTAATGGTAACCTCTATGAACAGATCGACGGTGTCGCAATGGGATCGCCATTGGGCCCGCTCATGGCAAACGCGTTCATGTCTTCGATTGAAGAGAATCTCGCGCGTGAGAACAAGCTTCCGAGTTTCTTTAGAGACAGTTGCATGCAGTTGTGCGACCTCGGAAGGAAGATCAATCATCCTTTGCCGCCAATCTTTACGAGCAAAAAGTTCATCAATTATCTACGAGAAACGGAATTAAAGCCTACGCTAGTGAACCAGCAGAATGTTGCTTATGAATTCAAATGTGATTTGTGCGATGCAAATTATATCGGTTACACGTGCCGTCACTTGTCCATCAGCGTGTAGAGGAACACAAACACTCCGTTATTGGCAAGCATTTCTTGGAAAAACACAACTTAAAACGGATGAATCTTAACACAAACTTTAAGGTCCTCAAGAAATGCCGAGGGAAGCTTGAGTGTTTGATCTTCGAAATGCTTATCATCAGGAACAAAATACCTACATTTAAAAACACTCAAGCGGACTCCATCCGGGCGAAACGTTTTATTTAATTGTTAGATTGCTCCATTTTCGCACCTCAATTTAACTCAACATATTCCTGACACTTTCTTTTTTCTGTATATATATATATATCACCAATTCATGCTAATTTTCTTTGCATTTGGTAATGATGATACGGAGTCGTCGAAACGTCGTGCTACTTAATTTTTTATCGCTGATTTTTCTTTTAAAATGTTTGTCGAAATCGATCGTTATCAGAAATTTAAATTAAAACCATTCATTTCGCCAGTTTAAAGGGTAAACGCATTCTTACTGAGAAAATTACTAAAAGAAGAAGAAAGTAAAATAGCGTTCTCAATGCCTTAATGAATATTTGCTTACCTTTTTCAATATCTAAGTCAATGTCCGACAGTTCTAAATTGACTCTCCTAAAAACTCGCGAACCTGTTAAGCAAAGTAGGGCTGATCTCAGTAGTGCAAAGGACATTCTTGCCATTGGATGTAATAATGATCGCCTTTTTGTGGTTAAGTATTAGAAATATGGTCTTTCACTGTATATTTCTGGGAAAAAAGCGATCATCATTACATCAAAACACGGCACAAGGATCTTTTTTACCATTACAATCTTATTCTAAAAAAACTTTGAGAAAAAATGACCCGAAAAGTGCTCGAAAATACAAACGAAATGTGCTCATGCCCCCCTGGGCATCCTATAATACTCCTTAAATCGAATTAATTCAATATGGCCGCCGTCACTGCCCCCAGGATCGTTACTCGGAGTTGTAAACTTTGTGAACACATTATCCATTTGACCTTCACCGGCTTTCTGTTAGTTATCATGCTCTTTTAAAACTTCTTTTGTCAGTTTTCAAATCACTTAATAACCTTTCACCTAGCTATCTAGCCGGGACAGACTTAGTTATAAAAGGCACTCCAGGAACTTGTGGTCTGCATCTCAGCAGCTGTTAGAACAACCTCAAAAAATCACGGGGACAAGGCTTTTTCGGAGTGCGCCCCTAAACTGTGGAACTCACTACCATTAGCTAGATTTGCGCAATTTACCATCTTTAGCAAGAAAGGACTGAGAACATATCTTTTTACGCAATTTTTAGAGAGTAATATTTTTGTAAAACGTCTTCAATATCATATACCTAAACTTATAGAATGTATATTCAGTTTTTTCCTTGACTTATTATCATCATATACAAACTTTAATGGCAAAATAATGTTAAAACATTTGAATTTTCGTTCCCTTCTATTGTTCTTTGTGAATTGCAAATAGATTTTAATATATGTTATTTCATGCTCGAGATATATCTATTTTTTCCTCTTTAACATTGTAAAGCACCATGCGCTTAGGATATGAGCGCTATAAAAAGAAGCCATTTTGTTCTATTATTAATTTTAACCAGTACAAAAGTAAACTCTGTATAGTCATTCATAATGGGCACGAAATGTGAGGAGAAAATGTGGCTTTCGATAACAAATTTATCACCAAGAAGAGCTTAAAACTTCACTTAAAACTGTCGTGATTCAAATCGTACACAATTCCCCCCCAAAACGGCAATATATTCTAGCAGATACTTACAGTCCATGAAAAGACACCTTCAAGCCGCCATCTTGAAATGCCATTTGGGACTGAATACGCGTCTGAAAACATCGTCCTTGGATTTTCCATTTAGTTGACTTCTTTTTGTCATTGGTTTTAATAATAAGATAATACAATTTCTTTTTTTCATTTTCATGTTTCATTAATATAGTGGCAAAAAACAAGGAATTGATATTCTTAGCACAGGGAACCTACCATGGTATATCATTATTGCTGTATCATTAAGCTGACTTGTTTTAGTCATCGGTTTGAACAATCATAGTATTAACAAAGTTTCTTTTTCCATCTACTTGCCTTTTTATGTGATTTTCATCAAAAAATGGCAAAAAATAAGGGATTGCAATTTTCAGCGCAGGGCACCCATCATGGAAGGTTGTTAAAGAACTTCAGCGAGCGGTTGCTGCAAATCCTGAAGAAAAATCCTGGGTACCGATCCTAATATTGACTAACATGCCCTAAGCTACAACCATGCAAAGTTTGGTGGTTTTTCCGCTCTGTATAGATCTCGCTAAAATTTTGCACTAAGCCACCGGGTCAGAATTCCAGGTTCAACTCCGACGCTTTCGGTTATATGTAGAAAATGCAGTCACGCGAAACAAGCCGTGCGCACAAAATCAAGTCTCCTCTGAACGAGTGAAGAAAATTTCCATACGGAGTTGAGTGGAATTACATTTTACGACCATATCATATATCCTAAGCTTTAATGATAGTTACAGATATGAAAGAAATCTTATCCGGATAATGTACACAGCTACTTCACCGATTCTGTACAGCAAAGAAAAAACTGTCCGGATACAGGGCACGTGACATCAATAGTTAGTGAATGTTCTGGCCTCCGTTATTCCAAGCAAATCCAATTTCAAGAAGAATTAATAAACTTTCTGAGAACCTGACTTCTTTAAGTATCTTCCCTTTAAATATAAAACAGTTTCTTTGAGAATATCACATATTACCTACCCTTTTCTGAGCAGCACTAATTTTACTGCGCAGTAAACAGCGTAAATATTAGCCTTGTAAAGTTTACTCACCTGAACAGAACGGCGTCTTCTGCCACTTTTTTGCAAGCTTTAAACTCGCCAAAACGTTTATCTTAAAGCCGAAATGTTCAGCTTTCATTCGAAAACGCTCGAAAAACTTCGTTTACCGAGAACTGAAAAGGGCGCCTCAAAAATGAATTTTTTGTTTTAAGTGTCCGGATACAGGGCAACATACTGTATCAATATTTAATATCTTTTCACTACAAATTCCTCTTTAAAATCTGCCACGATTTCAACATGAACCAACAACGATAAGAATATTAAATAGTAGTGATAATTGAATATGCAATATTCAATATCTCAGTTCTCTAAATAATAATAATAATAAATATAATAAACCTGAAGGTTTTTGCTGCCTCCGAGAGCAAGCTGAACCGGGTGCTGAAGGAGACTAGAGGAGCGATGCAGGACATCGGCCTCCACTGGAATCAGAAGAAGTGCTCAGTGGTACACGTGAAGAGGGGAGCCCAAGTGATAGACGAGTCTGGTATGAGGATGGACCAGACAACTACCATCACGGCTCCTGGGGAGGAAAACACTACAAATTCCTGGGGGTGCTAGAGAACGTTCGACAGGATGAACGGCTGGCCCTAGCGTGTGCGACTAAAGAGTATCTACGCAGGATATCTATTATATGGTCCAGCCCCCTGTCTGATTGTAAGCGTGTACAGGCAACTAATCCGTATGCACTACGGGTCCTGCCTTACTTAATGTGGACACAGCATTGGCCTCTATCAGAGTTAAGAGATGTAGACAGAGCAGCTCGGAAGATCATAGTTGAGAACGGGGGCAAGCATCCAGCTAGCCTAACTTCTTTGTTATATCTACCGAGGGAGAAAGGGGGTAGAGGCCTGCGATCAGTCGAACACAAGTACAAGATCACTAAAATCAAATAGCAACTGAAATTGTATCAGAATTCAGACCAGACTGGGGAAGCAGCTACGTACGCTGAAGAACTCAACATCACACTTCAGCTTGATACCCTAAATCCCGTGCGTGTTAAAACAGAAGAAAAGGTGGTGACTGCAGCAAGAGCGTGGAATCTGTTGAAGCAACCTCAAGAGAAGCAGTTCTTGGAGATCGCTAAAGACAAAAAGTGGCAAGGAACGTTATTCCGTATCGGATGGGAAGATGAGAGCCTAAGCATAACCACCTGCTCTGCATGGTTAAAAGGTTGGGCTACATGCCCTACATATACCATCTCGGGCATGTATGAACTGTGCATGTATGAGCAGTTGTTACCTACGAAGCTCTACACAAAGGAGAAGACGCAAACCTCCACCGACGGCGAAGTCCTATGCAGGTTACGTGGGAAGGTAGCAGAGAGCGTTGCACATGTATTGGCTGGATGTTCCTCCCTGGCACAAACCAAGTACCTATACAGGCATAATTCAGTTTTGAAGATTCTGTTTTTTGAGCTCCTGTGAGAGCATGTGTTAATAGAAGAGGTTCCACCATGGTACTCACCGGTGATGCCAAAACCAGCCTACCAGAACACCACGAGTGAGGCGTTTAGGGATATTCCCATCTATGCAGAGCACAACGAAGTAAGAGCAAATTGGATCGACGCGCGACTTGTCAGCCACGAGAGGAAAGAAGTCTGCACAATTGAAATGAGCTGCCCATGGATTGAGAATTGAGCCAAGAAAGATGAGGAAAAGACCCTCAAGTACGGGCCCATGATGTGGTAGCTGAAGCAGAGATGCAATGGTTACAGGGTTGAACAGTACGTACAACGTAATAATTGACGTACTGGGTGGTTACTCTAAACGCCTTGAGAAGTCGGTGAGGAAGCTACTAGGCGCAAGAGCACGGAGCGTACTTGAGCGGATGCAGAAGTCGGTCATCTCAAACACTTTAAATATTTCCAGAACATTTAAGATAAATACTTAGTTAGGGCGCTAAGGACTCCAGTTTTTAGGTTTTTTTTTTCTCTAGAAATCCAGAAACACAAGTTTTCTGATGTTTTTACTAAGATTTTTTTAGAGTATTAGAGTTTGATATTATTCTAAATAGGCTCTTAGTAGAGATAACCACATTATGATGGCCTCGTTTAGGTATATAAGAGATAACGAGAGTATAAATACTGAATAATTTTCTAAATAGGCTTCTAGTAGAGATAATTATATCATCATGTCTTTGCGTAGGTTGTTCAAAGTATAAGAATTTAATAATATTCTAAATTGGCTTTTTAAGTAGAAAGATTCATATCATTATGTATATTACTGATCGCGTTAGGTTTCGTACCGACCTTTTTTTACTTCTACGTATAGCTTCTCAAGTGGCGTAGGTTACGTTATGCGCCCTATACGACTCATAATGTGGACAGCATTCCAAAGTTTTATACTGCGAGATACTACTACTACTACTACTAATATTAATGCTGCAAAATTTGGTCATCTCAAGCACTTTGAACATTGCCAGAACATTTAAGATAAATACCTAGTTAGGGCGCTAAGGACACCAGATTTTAGGTTTTTTTTTTCTCCAGAAATCCAGAAACACAAGTGTCGCAAAAGCTGTATTTTACTGATGTTTTTACTTAGATTTTATAGAGTATTAGAGTTTGATATTATTCTAAATAGGATTTTAGTAGAGATAACCACATTATGATGGCCTCTTGTAGGTATATAAGAGATAATGAGAGTATAAAACTGAATAATTTTCTAAATAGGCTTCTAGTAGAGATAATTATATCATCATGTATTTTCGTAGGTTTTGACAGAGTATAAGAATTTAAGTAATGGTCCAGATAAGAAGGAAAGGACCAAAACGCAGTGAACACGTCGGAATGCAAAAAGGTGCTAACTTTACTATTGTCTCTACTAAGGTTCTGATTGGTTTAAACATCAAATTTTACGAAATCTTCGCAAAGCAGCATGTATATTAATCTCTTTTTTTCTATCCAACTTCCTTATAACAAAATCTCGTCTGAGTCTAAGTAACACAGAAATCGTATGTGCGGATCATGTAAAATTGTGAACATTTCTTGGCCATTGTTTGCAACTCTTGTGATTGGTCGAAATGTTTTAACACAAAAATACACCCTTTAAAAGTGGAGTTTAAATACATTTTTTTTCGTAAGCAGCCTTTTTGTAGATTTATGCATTCGCTGCGTAAAAATGAAAACATTTCTATGTGAGGAAAGCGTATTGCGCCACAACAAAAGAAATTGCTTCCCTTCTTACCTGGATCATTACTTAATAATATTCTTAATTATATAGCTGTTAGTTTATCTGATATTGTCAACAAAGCTATCATCCTTTAATTTTTACGAACTGTCCAATTAAGGATTAATTTGGATAGTTTCAGATAGGACTTTCTTTTGCGAATGGGCAAACTGTCCAATTTAAGAAAAATAGGACAGCTAGTCTGAGCCAATCAAATGCCAGAAAATACAATAGGCAATGCGAACTAGCCAATCAGCGCAAAGTCCCTGTGACAACGCGCCAAAACAAGTCTCGTTCGCTGACGGCGGTTCGTTGGCGAACACTCTTCTTGGCTGCTGTTTTGTTTTGGCTTCTTGTCTGCGCCATTTAAAAAGGAAAATGTATGACTTAACTGATGAAAGTTTGTATTGGAAACAATCAACGATTCTTGAAAATGTAGAAGCGCTGAAACTTTGGACAAGAATAAGAAAACACTGATAGTTGTATGAAAGAGCAACAAGCTTAGTAGTTTTACGTTTGTTTATTTGTAAAGAATAAGCAGTGTGTTTTTGTCTCAAATACAAACGGGCGGGTTCGAGTGTACAATATTTCGCGTCTCTGACATACTAAAAAATCTGGATTAACTAACCAGCTATATAATTAATAAGTAAGAGGACTACATGCTTGTCCAAGTTGGAAATAATTGAATTCAAAAAATTCCTCTGACAGCCAAATTGGACTCGGCCGAATTTTGGCTGTCCTCGGAATTTTTTTCATCCAATCATTTCCAAATTGGACAGCATGTTTTCCTATTACATATACAAATTGGCTTTTCAATAGAGAGATTCATATTATTATGTATATTAGGATTGTATTAGGTTTCGTACCGAACTTTTTTTACTCCTAAGTATAGCTTCTCACGTGTAGGTTACGTTATGCGCCCTATACTACTCATAATGTGGACAGCATTGCAAAGTTTTATACTGCGAGATCATAATAATAATAATAAAAGCCTCCCAACACACTGGTACCAACACAACATCCTAAAGAAGCCTGAAGTGGACGTAAAATGTAGACTGTGTGGCCGTTTCGACGAGACCATTGACCACCTGGTCACTGTCTGCCCTGAACTGGCTAAAACTGAATATATCCACCGCCACAACAAGGCGGCTGCACACATGGACTGGAAGTTCAGCAAAGAGTTTGGCATTGAGGTGAAGGAACGATGATATGAGCATGAACCCAAGACTGTCACCGAGAATGACAGCGTCACTATTCTGTGGGACATGCATGCCCATCCACACTGACAGGACCATAGCAGCTAATAGGTCGGGCATTGTGCTAAAGAACAAGAAGGATAATGACTATACCCCTCGACACCAACACCTCCGTCCAAACCACGGAAAAGCTTACCAAATACAAAGACTTGGAAATTGAGGTTGAGCGAATGTGGGGGTTCAAAACAACAACAGTCCCGGTGGCTATGGGAGCCCTTGGCACCATCAAGAAGGACACGGAAAACTACTCCAACAGGGTTACGACAAAGTGTCATCTCATGACAAGTAGAAATAATTGATTTCCATGCCTCATCGGTCGTCTCGCGGATAAACGAGGGCCGCGATCCTTAGTGAGGAAACAGGCTTAGATCGAAAAGTATGCTACTAGAACAATTTCTCTCCTGCAAATACAAAAGAAGAACTGCACACCGAGGATACTCCTCAAAGTGACCTTTGAAGTACAACATCTGAAAACGACACAAAACGAAGAAGACAAAATGGAACAGGGAAGAATATAAAGAAGCTATGGAAGCGTACTACACTGCTCCACTGAACCCGACAGAGACATCAACGTCCAGGGCTGCATACAGAATCTGGCGAGAACAACATGCCAGTGTCAGATTGTACCTAGACTCTAACAAACTACCAATAACTGAGAACAGCGAGGTCACAATACTCTGGGATATGCCTGTACACACCTACAGGGAGATAAAAGCCAACAGACCTGACATTGTGGTCAAGGACAAGAAAGAAAGAAATAAAGTGCATGCTCATTGACATATCAGTTCCATCTGAAAGTAACACCTCAACAAAATTCACAGAAAGGTTGTCCAACTACAAAGATTTGGAAATTGAAGTCAATAGGGTGTGGGATATGAAAACAGAATCAATACCAGTAGTCTTTTGAGCCCTAGGGCTAATTAAGAAGGGACTATACAAGGTCACTATGAGATCCACAAATCACCATGCTGGGAACAGCCCACATACTAAGGAAAGTACTGTCGCTGAAGTAACTTCTTCCCCTAAACGCCCAAGGTCCACTGCTTGGATCCAACTACAATAGCTGAAAAGCAGGGAAACTTGACGAGAAGATCATCATCATCATCATCATAATAATAATAATAATAATGATAATAATAATAATAATAATAATAATAATAATAATGATACAGGCATAACTGAGAAGAAAGAAGTGAAAATGTTATACTTCTTGGAACGGCTACCATATTGAGAAAGGTCCTTGAAGTCTAAGGTCCAGGAACGAAAGTGAAAAATATTTTTGTTTTAAGAACAGTGAACACCTGTGCGAAATAGAAATGATGACGACGACGACGACGACGACGACGACGATGATCAGATGATGATGATGATGATGATGATGATGATAAGAAGAATAGGAATAATAATATAGAAATAATAATTAAAAAAACAATTCCCTTCATTGGCAGGCACGTTTTCTGAAATCGTACCTATGTGTAACGGTCGCCGAAGACTTCCTTTTCCAAGGTGGAGTGATGGAATGGATGACACAAGTAGCCCGTTCCATGCCTTCAGATAGCAGGGAGACCAATTCCCTCGAAAGTAACAGAGATTATTGGCAGCATGATAGAAATTATTTTAAAAATCTTGTTCGGCTACACGTGCGACACCGGGTAAAACAATCCCCCAATGTTGTTTAGTTTACTCTCAAATAAAAAGAAAAGGCTAAATATAGTCGCACTCATATGATCGGAAAGTATTCCATGGTTTCCGGTCTTCAATTTTGTTCTTTGGAGTACTGCAAGGTTTATTTTTATAAGAATTTGGAACTTCACTTCACCCGCATTGATCTAAGATTTTATCTCGGACTGCAGAAGGTAATTGCAGTTTTTAGAGTTTCCGTCCCCAAATGGTTCTATCAGTTGGTAACATCGTATTTTAATGGTAGTATCTGTCGTGTTTGAAATGTCCTTTTCCCGAAAGCAGGTAAATTATATGAAAATATAGTGTTACTTTTTTCATGAACAGACCAAAGGGCCGCCACGTCCACGTCTTAATATTCGCTTCATTGTCATATTTCGGACTCATTTGTAGAAGTAGCATTTTAACCAATTCAATTTATCTTGTAGGGTGCAACTGGTAAGGATAAAAAAGAAGCAAATACAGCCGTCCCGACTGACTTAAACGTCGACTTCAATTTGCCACCAGAAGAATTTACCGATCATCTTTGTCAACTTTTGGAAGGCTTAAACCTTCCAAGTGATGCAAAAGAAGTTGAACAGAACATGATCCTTGATCTGTGGGACTTCGCTGGTCAACATCTTTACTATGCTTCGTATCCTGTGTTCTTGTCATCACGAGCCCTTTATATGCTTGTTTATGATCTCAGCAAAGATTTAAAGGACACTGCTCAGCCTTCTTTCAAACAAGGAATTGGAGAAATTCCTGAAAGTAACCCAAATAAGGAAACAAATTTGGACAATTTTCTGACGTGGCTGGTTTCTTTAAGTACTATGTGCTCACCTAAACCAGAGGAGAACCATCAGGAAACAAAAGCGAAAGATCTACCCTACTGTCGCCCTCCAGTATTCATTGTCGGAACACACGCAGATAAACCACATCAAGACATCAAGGAAGTTGAATCGCAGATCAAACATGAAATTTCTGGAAAGGACTATGAATGTCATGTGATTCGTCCTTTCTTTTCAGTCGATAATACCCAAGGTTCATCTGATGAGGGAGTGGTCGCACTTCAGAAGAAAATGATTGAAATTTTGAACGAAGAACCATATATGGGAGAAGAGGTACCAATTCGGTAAGTTTTTTTCAGTCAAGAATAACTGCGGAAGAAAAGATCCGCTCTTCACCTATTTCAGATGATATTTAACAATTATTCGCCGAAGGCGAAGTTAATATTGTTGAATAATCCCCGAGATGAAGTCGAGGGGATTGTTCAACAATATTAACTGAGCCTGAGGTGAATAATTGTTTTAGTTTATTCACACGAAGTGATCTCAACAGAATCAGAAAGGAAACCATTAAAATTGATTAGTTTGATTGACGGGTGAATTCATGCGTGAACACGAAGCTGTTAACAGTGGATGCGCAAAAGTTAGATCTTTACAGTACCTTCAAACATGGCAAATGATAGTCTTAATATTTTTGTATCGCGTTTTGTAAGCTTTAGCATCAACGGTTTAAAAGAATACGCCGAAAATTTAAATTACTACCCAATTCTGAGAAGAAAAGAAGAGCTTTATTTGTTTCTGTCAACTCACCGTGAATGAGAAAGTTTTCTTTGTTGCTTCTTGCAAATGCTGTCAACAGCGGCTACGATCAAGGTGAGGGTTGTTTATCTCCAAAGTTCCTTGCCTTGTTAACTTGTTGCTGGCACGGACAATTTGCGAAAATATTTGCCTTCCTCTTTTCTCCATAATTTAACTTCTATTTATAGCCAAAATTGGTCTTGCGAGAAAATCCCGAAATCACAAAACAGTGACAAAGCGACCTCGTTTTCCTCTGTAGTGGTAAACATAGCTTCGAGCGTACAAAAAGTCAGCTACAGTAAACCAATTGACAATAAATCACGCTGTTTAAACACCATGAAGTCTTTTCTTGCCTTCAAAGTCATCAGCACTTGGATATTCGTTTATTTTCAACAAGGCTTTACTATGAAACTTTGGCAAAACACCCAGTTCACGACAGCGATTTTGTTCTGCTTTATATTCACTGCCTAGCGCGGTGAATATGAGATTGCTTGAATTACCAAGATCACTGAGTGTGTATATACTAAAAATAAGACAATACATTAAGGAGAGGAAGTCTTGTTCAATAAACTTTGATCAACTTTCCTGGTTCCAAAGCGGATAATGGTCGGTCGCTCCGCCGGCTACACAAAAAGGTGTGATCTACAGGATTCCCGTAGGAAAATTAAACAAGGAGAAACATCGTCGAAACAGGGAGATCTATTACAGGAGTTACTTACACAGAACGATAGGAATATTGCGGATCTTACCGTATACAGGCATTCACTGTTGCTGATGCAGCTGATGTCGCTCAACACAGAGACCATTATCCACTTTGAAGCGAGGTTAGACCAGGTTAAGTTTGTTAATCGAGACTCTCACTAGTAATCCCATTCAATCAAGGAAACTATCCTCATAAGACGTCAACCTAAACTGACATTACTGAATAGGCTTGCGCAATCGAACATTTTGATACGTGGCTGTCTAAGGTTATGCCAATACAGCAGGTCACGATAGGACAATGGTACACCAACTGGAACCGGCCAAGGGATCAACATGTGATTCTCATATGAATAGTATTAGGGATTGAAATGCACCAACTGAAAGCCGACAATTGGAATACGAAAGAGACTACATGGTCACTCGACCTCATCTCCTTAAGAATACCAGCAGAAAGCAGTCGAAATCGCGACCTTTATCTCTAGCGACTAAGCGGCTGTAAGAGCTTACTTGACTCGTAGGCAAAAATTCGACTGAGGTAGGGTAAGGTCAGGTTGGGGAGGGAACCGTGAAACCACGCAAGTAAACTTAACGACTCATATAACAAGAAGTAAGTAAGTAAGTAAGTATCAAGCTTTATTCACGGTATCTCTTCATTAAAAATGCTCTTCCAGTGAGCCGTTTACATAACAGATTTTAAGAGAAAACTACACTAATGCTAAAATATCTATATCATAAGAAAAATATCTATATCATAAGAAAACTATCCTATAATTAATTAGTAAAATACACAAAAATCAACTTAAAATGTACATTATATTACTAAAATAGGTTCTATCTCAACTCCCTCAAGGCAAAGACAGGGCAGACTTAAAAGAGTTGAGATTTATCTCGTCTTTAAGCACATTTTTCAGGCCATTCCATCCATTCCATGTGACTGCCCCCAATAGGTACAAAAACATTGTTCGAGGCACCTCGTACGTTGTAGGAATGAACCCTAGAGGTCGGTTTGAACATGTTCTTTAAACTCTCAGGGTCAAGGTTATTTAGAGATTTAAAAACAGTCACTTACTGCGAGCTGCTTGGGGCGTCTTTGCTCAAGCGTATCCCATCCTAGGTCTTAGAGAATATCCGCAGATCTTGTATTATAATCACTAAATGTTATAATTCTCCAGCCCTATTTTGCAATCTCTGAAGTCTGTCACATAGGCCTATTCCCATACATCCCCAAACTTCGGAGCAATGATTAAAATAAGGAACGACTAAAGCCTCATACATTCTCAGTAGGGTTTGGCAAGGCACCAGGGAACGAATACGTATTAAGGCACCGATACTTGCAGATACCTTATGGTATCTACTTAGGATTGCCATCCCAAAGCCTCGTCTACCTCTATTCCCAGATATCTACAGTTAGTCACCCGAGTCAATTGTTGACTATTAACAGTAACGTTTAAGTCACCATTTAAATGCCTTAGTCGGTGGTGGCTTCCAATAATCATATATTTTGTCTTTTTGACAATTAATGTGAGTTTATTGAATTTCAGCCACTTTTGAACCTCATCCAAGTCTTTGTTTAACTTTTCTTCAAGAGTTGTGGGGTCATAAGCGGAAAGGGTAAGCGAGGTGTCATCAGCATACATGACTGCAGATGATGACAGCTCGCATTCTTGTGGGTCATTTAGATAAATAAGAAACAACAAGGGTCCAAGTACAGAACCTTGTGGGCCCCACAACAAATAGGAAGATAGTCTGATAGAGTGCCATTTACATAAGTACTCTGAAAGCGATTTGATAGGTATGATTTGAACCACTGAACTGCATGCGAGTGGAGCCCATAAAGTTGCAGTTTTTTCAACAATATGTTGTGGTCAACCGTATCAAAGGCTTTTCCACTCGTCTGAAAAATTCCCACACCTAATGGATAGGTTAATAAAAGTATGGTTGAGAGAAGGCACGATTCCAGGACAAGCTTCTTTTAAATGCCTTGCAGAAATACCATCCAGGCCCGTAGCCTTGTCGACTCGAAGAGAACTCACTAAACGGTGGACAACTCCGCAGTGCGTCTCATTCCGCGTATAGCTAGAATCTGATGGCGTATAATGTAGTCGGCCTCAAAACAAACACTAGTTTTGGGAATACTTTCGGCTAACCTAGGCCCAATGAGAGTAAATTGATAATTAAGAGCATTAGAGATTTCTAATGGGGTAGTACATGAGTTATCTCCAACATCTATTCTGTTTATTTCAGTTGTTGGTAAATTTCTAACCAACATTGAATTTACTCCTTTCCATAATTTCTTAATATCCCGTAGATTTGTTTCGAAATACCTCTTATAGTAGTTAGTTTTTGCTTTCCTGATATTAGCATTTACATTGTTTCGAGCAATCTTATACTCAGTTCAAATATGAGCATCTGAATTGTTGATAATTGTAGCCCTTTTCAGTTTGCCCCTCTCAAACATCAACCTTTTTGTCTCTGGTGTTAGCCAGGGAGCAGAGTTATTTCTTACTTTCCTTTTACGGAAGTCAAGACCAAATTTCCCAGGCACGATTTGGATTTGGATTATCTTCCAGATGAACTAGGATCCAAAGTGCTAGGTTAAGGTCAGCGTGGAATGCATTAGCATCAAAATTCCTAAATTGTCGCGACTCCACAATCTGTGGTTTCCCTTTGGAAACCCAAAATTTTTTAATTCCATAGATAAAAGAGTGGTCACTTATTCCCGATGTGACAGACCCCAGAATGCGTAAATATTTCCTTGTTATTTGTTAGCAATAAATTCAAAATTTCTCGCTGTGTCTACATTAGCACGTAGGGGTCTATACCACGTACTCACAATAAAAGGTTTAGCCTTGGGTTTAATTACCTTAATACCAATCCACTCGAGGCTTTCGTACTCGATATCAAAGAAAGGTTCATAATTGATAATATTCCGGATATAAAGGGCGTCTCTGTTTCTATCATTTCTCTCCAGGGCATAGCCTGGTACTGTAACTTCGCCACTAGATATAGTATCATCGAGACGAGTTTCATTAACCGCAAGAATATCAATACGTTTCGTATTCATATAAATCCGCAATTCCTCGATATGGTCGGGAATATGAGGTTAAGGGCAGCTAACTTAAAACCCCTATTTTTGGATAATTCACTTGGCAGATCAGCATTGAACGGAGACGAGCCGTATGTGAAATGACCCTCTGAGTCTAACTTCCCGACGAGGTCCGAATTATCTTGCTCAGAGTTTGTGCTAGCAACCAAAGAGGGTTCTGCTTTCGCTTGTGTTTTCCTGCTTTGATCTTTGCTTTCAATGCCTTTCTTATAACATTCGAGGCTAGAATTTTCACGCCATCACCATTCAAGTGGATACCTTTGCTCTTTAGATGTTTAATTTTTATGCGGGCAATCAATAAACAACTAGCCCCTGGAGTCGCAGACAGCTTGCATCGTGTGATTTATATGCATAAGCTTCTCATTTGCATGTTCATCTCTCTGGCTTATTAACCCCGAAACTGATACCTTGATCGAAGGTCTAATTTTAATCGCTTCCTCTGCTATTTCAGTTAGACCTTAATTAAGGCCGAGGCTTGTAATGCTGAGTTGAGGTAATTATGGTTTAAACTACTTTTTTTAGCTTTTTGTTTTTACATTTGGTTTGCAGATGGTTTAACTTTGAAAAGGTTGTCCAAGCATTGACTGCCAAGAACGTGAATTACCTGAACGTTGAAGATCTTAAAGATATTGTCGAGAAAGTTTGTTTCATTAAAGACAAGGTTGAGGCGGCCACAATGTTGAATTTCTATCATGACCTCGGCATAATTGTCAGACACCGGAACACAGTTGTACTTCGGGCTCAATGGCTAATTGACGTCTTCAAGCAACTCATAACTATTAGTCCCTTTGATGCCAGGGTAAGAAAACCAAATTTAAGAAATATAACTGTCTGTAGTTTAACCTAATGCGTTTTTGACTTGTCTTAACCTAACTCGCCTTTCTTAAATTTAACATCGTTCGTCTCAATGAGTTTACCGCAGATGTTTTTACATTTGGTTTACAGTCGTATGAAAATTTAATACGACATAGCTTTTTGGTGAGTATTTCTCAGTGCAGTGGAACCTCTAATACGGACACTGAAGGGACAAAGCGAAGTGTTCGTATTAGAGAGGTGCCCACATAAAAGAGGTCACTACGATGACGTCACTTTTATGATTCCACTTACAGTTTTAAGTGTCCAGTAGCTAAAACCAGGCTCACGCTAAAAAAACTGCATTTAAATTTATCAATTCACCGTACAAAGACACTTTCAGTAGCATACAACATATACATCTCAGCTACAGACAAATTACTGGCTTAAAACGAAACGAGCTACAGCGCAATGCTGCGTGTAAAAAGTTGTAAGTAAACGTAAAACACAATTCTGAAAGTGTCTTTCGCTAGTTTGCAAGTGCAGTAAACAGTAACTAGAGTACAAAATGTAATAGAAAAGATCTTCATGCTATCTGTAGTTATTCAATCCTTAAAAAAGTCGTTTATGTTCCTCTGTAGCGACTGGGCTTTTGAAATCACCTTGCATATATAGCTCACCAGCCAGACTAGATAGGATTCAGCCCGTGCAGATTTACCTGATCGGGATTTGGGATTCACCTGAACACCGCAATGTCCGTAATAAAGAAGTTTAGATTACCTGAATTTACTCTCTGGGGCCGAGATTTAGTGTCCGTTGTCCGTATTAGAGAGAGTCCGTATTAAAGAAAATATGTCAGAATTTTATCCGGGCATTGGAAACTGCCCGTAATAGGGAGGTGTCCGTACCGAAAGGCTCGACTGTATGTATATAATAAGATGTTTTTTCATCTGTAAGAAAAATGATACGTCCAATCAGAAGTCACAGAGGTGTGTGAGTTTCGAGCCAAAATTCCCGCCTTTTATAGGCGCCGCCCCTTGCAGCGGCGCTTCGCAGACATTCAACGAGAAAAAGTTTTTCTCGAAGAGTTTTTCTTGTAAAAAAGTGAGAAACATCTCGGAAATTGGAGTGGAATAGTTTCGTTTGGTTCACTGTCGATTAAGAAAACTGCAGAGAGCCGGCAAAACAACAGCGGAAGGGGAAAAACAGTACTAGTCGTAAGCTTAAGTTGTCATAAGCCGTGCTTGTATCGGAGCTAATTGTCCTTTATTTATATTCAAACCGACCATTTTATCTAAATTCATTCATTTTCATGTGCATTCAGAACAAATTCGTTACCCCCATTATATTTTTTAAAAAGCGTTGTTACTAATAGGCTAATACTTGCGGTGTGTAGCGGCAAATTTTAGCATTTTGGAAAGATTTGAAATGAAAAGCTGCCAAATTGATGACTGTCTCAGTATGTACACATGAATATACACAATACCACATGGAAAGTGCTTCGTACGGTATTTACGCACTCGTTGTTCTTGTATCAGAAATCGAACGTAAAATACCGTACACCCGCACTTTCCATGAAGTATTCTCTATATTATAGCTATGTTATAATGATTGGTGTTCACACGAACTGACCACCTCCCTCAAGGTTAGTGAGTTTCCATCAGAAGCATTGTTGGCATCAGATTAAAAGAAGAAAATGTTCCTTCAGCGGTCCGCTGTGTTACCGATCGGCTGCTGCGTTGTCTTATCGTAGGTACCCTAGGTGCCCGAGGCATTTTGATTTTCTTCTATTCCTTATAAATCGCGACGAAGCCGTGACAGCGAGGCGCCAAAGGCCGAGAGAAAAAAGTGAGGTTCATCTCGCGTGTGTGTAGCCTGCGTGGAAGGCGTTTGTAAAGAAAGGGGAAGGGGATTCCGGTCGCTCGAGAAGCGCGAAAGGCGCTTGATGGGGAGGATCTTGCGCCCAGATTCCCTTCCCCTTCCCTTTCCAACGTCTGCCACGCACGTTATCTCGGAAGCTTTATCAAACCAGGGGCACGGTTTATCCTAGGTATTTCGAGAACAGAACTCTGGAGCCAGGGTATAGATCGTAGGCAACCATGCTTCAGAAATCTCTATTCCGCTGTGCCCGTTGATGTTGTTGATTTGAAGTCTTATGTTAATAGCTTCTTTAACCCTATACGTGAGTACTGATGAGGTTTTCCTTCAATAGTCAAGACTAACCTCGTCCCAAAGGGGATAATGCCTGGTCTTACTGGCGTGTTCAGAGACGGCTGAGCTTGAGTTAGTGAAATCTAGTATATCCCTTTCATGCTCCTCAATTCGTTCCTCAATGCCTCTGCTCGTTTTGCCTATGTACGTTTTCGCATTTGCAAGAAATCTTATACACTACTCCATCTTGTTTTCGTGGATCACACAGCATTCTTTTTAATAGTTCACACCGAGTTTGATGTAAGTGATGCCGTGTCGGATTTGAAATACACAGGTTGTCGTGCCATGCTGTTGTAGGCCATGACGACCAAGAGGTTCTGATAACCCTTTAATGGGCATAACCGCTGTGGAATTAATTTCGGTTGCGGGTTCTTTGTCAGATGCGTGGTAGAGGATTTCATTTTATCAATTACAAACGAATAGGGGTATCCTGAAGGTTACCAGATACCTTCAGATGGAAAAATTTGTTAAAACTATAATTCTTGGCTCATAGTAAGGTTTTAGTGTGATCCTTATGAGAAAGAAAGAAAAAACGGAAAAGAGTAAATATTGGCGGAGAAATTAAGGTGATTCGCTATATAAGTAGCCTGCGTATCATGCGTCGAAAGGGGGATGGGGAGGAAGGGAGGGCTTTCGAACTTTTCTCCCTCTCTCCTCCCCCTCCCCCTTTTTGCGCCTGCCAAGCAGGCTACTATATAAGTCTACCTGGAGTTATGAAAACCGGGTTAGCAAACATTTTGTAATTTTTCTCAACTTCCCCTGTCTAATAGCTTGACATATGTTCATGTTGCTTGTTTATGTCGTTTTTTTTTTTTGCTTGTTTTGTGGTTAGGGATTTGTGTGGAAGTGGATGTAGACAGAATTACTATCTACCCACAATTCTTTCTTTAACACAAGTGACAGTTATTTGAAATCAGCTTGCGCTTAAAGCTGGTTTCGGTGCCGTTTAGCAGTTTAGTTTTATATATTGGTTACCTTGGGAAAAGTTTCCCGGAGAGCATCATGTAAAGCTCTGAGATGGGACAAAGGCATTACGATTCGCAGAGACTGCATCGTCCAATATGGTATCATATTTTCGTTTCATTTGGCTAAACGGATCAATCACCCTTATCCGGGCTGAGACAGAAAGGTACCATATTGTTCGCTTTTCTAAGGTGACCACTAAGTCTTTGGCCTCGGGAACAGGCTCTTAGGAGTCAAATGAATGAAGTGAGAGCAAAATTGCCAGTGAACTTTGACCCGGGCCAAGACTTTTTCTGGTGTGAAAACAAGACTAAGGTGATCCGCCTACCGTCTGACTCTACATCCGGGAACTTGAATAAGACGAGTGTAACAGAAAAGTCCAGAGGTGTTTATCTGGTAATGGGCTGAATTTTTCCGAGTTATTTGATGATATTTCGCTTATGTTAAACGTGAGAAGATTTTGCGTGTTTGTGGATAGTCTTATCAGTGCCTCGAAAGTGTGTGATTGTGTGATTTCCGCATGGTGTTGACAGGTATGTGATGGCGTGGTTGAACTGCGGTTTCGCCAAAATATTCTCTGCCAGCCATTAATATTGTTTCGTAGGTGTTTAGCTTAGCTGATTGTACCTTGGAAAAGCAACTCTCGACTCAGAAAAATTGGATCTACAATAGGTCTAGTTTCAGCGGGCTCTAATGGCATTGCACCATAGGCCGGTTTTTGCAGATAAGAAGGTGATAATTTGTGCACTATGTTCCATTCAGTTTGTTGTCTATTCCATGCGGAATCCTGTTGTTTTTCGGACCGCGAAAAGAGTAGTGTTTTGCTAACTATTTAAGATGTCATGTAAGCCTTAACCAGGCACTCTTTCGCTGCAGTTCACTCTCAACTTTAAAATTTCTGGACTGAAATGACACCGGTTTGAAACTTCGCGAAGTCAGTTTACTGAATAAATCTTCTAAAATTTGCGTCACTTTAAATTTGGACTCGTTGGAATGCTTCTAGGAACCATTAACTTACTGCCCGGCGTCAGATAAAGGCTTTTAATCGGCCTTTGAATGAGTTTTGTTGTTTTAAATTACCAAGTAGTAGAATGAGTTGATATTTTTGCTAACCCGGTTTTCAAAAATCCAGGTATAAGTAAAAGTTACTCCTTTGATTAACATCCCAACGGTGTTTTGATTGTTTTTTTTATTATTATTATTCAATAGTCATTTCTTTACCCAACACATCTTACAGTTACAAAGTTTATGCTAAAAGAAAGTATATAACAATATTACAGAATGGACCAAATTACATAAGAGCGAAAAAGAATAATACAACAGTTTTAATAATTCACACGATAGCATTAGACCTGTTAATTAACAGATTATTCCGGTATTAAGTTGATACCCTGCGAACAGAGTCTTTGGGTGGGGGGGGGGGGGTTGGGGTACTTCCTTATAAGAGGCTAATGGGGATGTGCCGCTGGATGGGGTCGCATTTTCACAACAGGACTGATTATAATGGGGTCTCATCTTCAAAAGAATTACTAGAATGGGGTCGCACAGTTTCGGATTTTTCGAGGAAGACAGTTCTTCATATTCACGGTTAGCAAACGTACCAGAATGTTTGTAATGTAGGTGAAAAATAAAGCTTTCTTCATTCAATATAAGGTAGATACATAAATAGAAAGTGACTACGTTGGGATCGCGAAAATTACATATTTGCCCAAAAGTGACTAAGATGGGGTCTATGATTGGCCACAGAATATACTATAATGGGGTAGCGGCTCTGAGAGACCAGCGGCACATACCCAGCAAAATCAACCCAAGTACTCCCCTCCTCCCCCGCGAAGAGTCCACTTTGATCTTCCTAGATACGTCGCCCTAACAAAGATCGAAGCGACCCTGCCAGTAGGGTAGTAAGTTGAATTCTTTGTAACTAATTGAAGAAAGAGGTTTTCGAAATCATACCTCCAACTGATCAAAGCTTTAAAATTCATGTAAAGATAATTATTTTAGCCTGGGACCAGGCTCCGCAGTGGAGGAAAAAGGCAAAACACGGGGTCAATTAAAACAGGAAAAAAAAAACGGCGAGCGAAGCGAGCCCAGCGGTGGCCTGGTTCTCCTCCCCAGACTAGTCTCACCCCACTTCGCTCGCCGATTTTTTTTTCGCCCACGCCTATTTCTTTCCTTTTTCCCCCAATGCGGAGCCTGGTCCCAGGCTATAATTTTTTAGGTGTTTGCTTATTTGTGTACAAGTAATATTTACAAAACAAAAGAGTAAAATCGAGCTTTTTGACAATTTCCGATGAGCTTTGATTCTTGCTATCATTATTAAGACTGAAGATTAATTCACTTGAGGATATCGCAAATTAAAGGAGGTGGCATTTTCGTCGTTGAACCATTTGATTACTTCTGGAAAAAAAAATTACCTGGTCCAGTGTCAGTTACAGAAAGTATGGATTACTGAATCATTTTGATTGCCGTATGGTCATAGCGCATTTTCTACCATACCATATGTGAACAGTTCTCTTTTAGTGACGACAATTCTATGTCAGGAGCTTTAAGTACAATTCTCTTAGTTTGTTATCTCTGCAAATATTTTTCACACCAGAGAAATGATGTTTTGCAAGTATTATTTCTGATAGGAGGCCCCTTTCTTATTTCACGTTTAGTGTTTATTTCATGTTGATCTTTATTAATCAAAAGCCAGTAGTAGTTTCTATTTTTCATTTTAAAGGGGCTATGTCAGTTGGAGAGCATGCGTAAGGTTATGCAAATTACTTTCAACTGTCAAAGCACTTCCAAGGCTCCGAAATTTACAGACACGTTTATGAGCGAATTGGGTTGGATAAGGGATATTTTGATAGGATTTACGTAACGTTTCTTCTCTGCATGGATATGCTAGATCAATTTCCCTCAATTTCTTCGGCAAATTTACTTGTAAATTTGAAGTAAAAACGCATGCCATTCATAAAAATAGAACGCAAACAAAAAAATCAACATCAACAAAATAAGTCAAAGTTTTATTTTATAAACGACCTACAAAAGACTCTAGACCAATGATAAAGACCAAGACTGTTTCAAATCATTAACAATTAGACTTGCCTGTCGCTACTGATTTAGCCTGTACACAGACGTTGACTCATTTTTTCTTTTCGATCGTTGTTTCATTAGCGCGCGAGTGAATCTAGTGCGCGAGGAAGAATCTTGCCCCACCCCTACCCCCTTGCGCTGACGGTCAATAATTCCCCCTGGTTTTTATTTTTATCACATGCGCTTGACGGACTTTTAAGAAAAAACAGATGATTTGTGAACAAGTTACTACTGATTTTATAATTTTGATGCTGACAGAACAAAAGAGACGCTGTTTTTGATGTCTTTAATTGTTTTGATCTTAGGGAAACAGACATCGATCGCGCAAAACTGTTCAATCCTGCGGGACTAGGCAAGGCTTGAACGGAGGTTATATTGCTAGTTACCCGTTACCAGTTACCAGTATTTTAGCCGCGCCGATTCTCAGATCTGCCACACGAATAGAGATTGGGCTGCCTGTGAGTGGCAACCTTAACATACAACTGTTTATTATCAGAGTGGCCTTTTCTAAGGGATGCGGTTTGTCATGCATAACTGAGAGCCCAACTAGTATTCCAAAGATTAAAGCAATTATTAACCTTCATCGCATTTCCATTTGTGTAGTTGTGTGCCATGGGCAATAAAAGTGATCTGAAAATAGAACTTGCGTGACACTGGCATACCTCTGCAGCTTGTTTATGACATAACTGCATTTCATCAAAAATTTCATTAAATCCACAAAAAGTAATAAACATCCGTTCTGAATCGCTGGTTACCTCTTTCAAATATAACTCTAAATATGAAGATCTAGTTAAAAAATTTTTCTGAGCATGTAGAGGTAAGGACTTGTTACTACTACATCATGACCAGATAGATAACTCTTGCAATCTTTTTCACTTAAGATATGGGTGGCAAGGTAAATATTAGGTAAATATGTCAAGATTGCTAGTAAACTTGAAGACGTCGCATTAGTGTATCACCTTTTTCTTTTTGTTATTAGGCTTTAAGCGGATATTTTTAACCCGATAGAAGGTCAGAACTATCATCAGACAACTCTTCCACGCTGGCTACCGCCATTGTTGGCAGCAATTCAAATCGCGCTTCTGTGACTCAGCGCGTGACGTATGATCATAGCTCTGCGCTGATTGGACATTACTGAGAAGGCGTGAAAAATATTCCGCGAAAGCTATTTCTATAAATATTTTTTGTCGGAAAGGTTGACTCCAAGGGCTTATATGGGAGATGGAGGCTCCAAGTAATCGGCTCGTATCTGTTGATGTCATATATTGCATTTATCTTTCCTCTCAGTTTATACGGGGACATATATTTCCGGGACCTTTCTCTTTTGAAGTACAGTTGACTCCCGATAACTCGAACCTTTTGGGGAAATCGAAAAAGGTCCTAGTTATCGGGAGTTCGAAGCAAATAACCGAAAATAAGGAAATTAGGAAATGGGATAGTAACTGGGAATCAGGAGGAATGCAAGTATTATGCACACTTCACTTCAACTGTTTCTTCTCCTTCTCCTCCTCCTTCTTCAGTGCTTCTTTTTTCTTCCTTTTTATCGACTGGTCACACGCTTAAAACGTGGATTGAGTTATCGAAAGTAAAATTATATAGAAATGCCTTGAAGGCAAACAAAAAATACTTGGAGTTGGTTGGAGTTATGGAGGATGCGATCGAGTTACCTAGGGTAAAATTATAGTAAATGTACATGTATGAAGATCCAGGGGAAATGGATTTTGGTTCGAGGTTCGAGTTATCGGGAGTCGACGGTATCCCGGCTACATAGCCTGAGTATCAGGCGTTTCATCGTGTCTTACACTTAAATTTGCCCCTTATTTCGTAGTAGCACTCAAGAAAAAGATTAAGATCCTTGGATCGTTAATAGGTGTAAAGCATTAGTTTTTACTTATGGCTAAAAAAACGGCTTCTTTCGGTTTTTGTTAGGAACCAAAATATTCCAAGATGTGGAAAGAAATGGATGAGAGCGGCCTCCTCAACAAGGAGCTTGTCGATCGTGTGTTCTCCAAGTTTCGCCAGCAGGGCCTGATCAAGGAAGATATCCTGAATATGATGGAGCAGTTTGGATTGATCGCCAAGTTTATCTCCTCACCAACAAATGCAATGTACTTTGTACCCTGTCAACTGAAGACGCCGCCTGACGCCTTTGGTGAAATGGAGCCATCACCGTCAGATCCATGTCCATTGTACCTGAATTTTCTGGGGGGTTTCGTTCCTCACGGTTTCTTCTGGCAGCTTGTGTCACGATGCATCAGATGGTGTTCTACGAATGGATTCACCCAGCCACCTAAATTGTTTCTTTCGGCTTCTCGGTTTTACGTAGATAAAGATTCTATTCATCACTTGATTTTTTTGTGCCAAAAGAGATTCATTAAGATCTTGTTGACGCCATCAAAGCCAGCCAACGATGGAGCATTAGTTGCCAAGGCAAGGGAAGTGCGAACGTTTCTGGAAGAAGCGGTAAAGAACCTTAGTAATGAGCTTCCTTGGTTAAGCAACTTGAAGTGGGATTTTTGTGTTGCATGTTCTGACTCTCTGCACGAGAAAAAGAAGTGTTCTAAACAGGCTACCGTTTCCTGTCACTGCGAAGATTGCCTGTGCCTTATAAAAATCCTCGACAAAGGACAACTCAGCCATTGTCCAAGAAGCGACCGTGTACCTACGGTTATTGGACTGGAAAAATGGTTTGCAGCAAAAGGTGAGATCACTTAAGGAGCAATATGCCACGACTGTGAGAAGGCGAAGAGTGAAAAAGCGAGCAAGCGAAACGGCGGGAAGAGAGAAGGGAATATTAAAATGTCAAAATGTGCCGTGTAGGAGAGTTTCACGCGCACGCTATGTTTTGTCTTTGCTTCTACGTGTGCGAGGGACTTAAAAGGGACTTTAAGATCTGGGACGCGACGACTTCTAGAACGCGGTGGCTGATAAAGGACTGGACCTGTAGAACGCCGTCGTTTGCGCGCGAAAAGTAAAGTTAAGATCTCTGTCGCGATGCAAGACGACGCGGCTGCAAACCGCTCTTCGGCGATTCTTTCGCAGAAATAGCCATGGCATCATTTAAGAACTGGTCCAAGAAATGCTTTGTTGGTGCTTTGCTCGATAGCATCACCTCCACTTCTTGGTTGACGCTTCGGTTTGTCATCGCTTTCATCCTCTGATGAACCTCTTTTCTTCGTCTCTGACAGCTTCTCCATCGCTTTTAGTCTAACATCTTTCACTTTAGCCCGATCGTATTGACGTTTTTTGCTAGCTGTTCTCTGTGTTTCCTGTAATTCCGCTTCGCCACTTTCCTCCAACGCGATGATCATATCCAATAGGTTTTCTAGTTCCGTTGGCTCATCAGGAGTTATCCCAGTTGCTTTTTCCTCCGCTAGAAGTTTCTTCTTATGCTTGTAAACAAGGATTCCCACGTGGTCTCGGACTGATCGCTTATCAACCCTGAATTTCGGCACAGTGAATTTGTTCAAGTTGTCTGCTATTTTTTCCCACATTCTACTTCTTTGTGTTGACCCTTTCTTAGTTGTGTAGGGATTTACATTGACGACTTCTCTGCATAGAATGGCTTCATGATCATGAGTCCAAAACATTACTGAACTAAAGAGAAGCATAAAAACATTCACAGTTTAATAAAATTAAATTAAATAATACAGGCTTAAAATTGGCTTTTAGCCGCAGATGAACGCAATAAATCGAGAATTGCAACGGTACAAGAGACGAGAAGAGTATGCAGAAGACTCCTGCATTCACTATTTGCAGTTTTAGCTCGTGACTTACTTGCAAGCCTCGCTCGAAGTCGAAGTCGAAGGCGCTGCCATTTTATAAGCTTCGTACACCTGAAAGAAATTTAAAAATAATCTGAAATCCTTCCATCTCTGCGATCTAAAATGTCGCCAGAAATTACGTCCAATGATCCTAGAAGGCTGATGTTACATGTTTAGAGGAATATACCATCATTTAATTTAAGCACAGGAACAAATATACTCACGTTTTGTAGAGAACGTCAAACACGCAAAACCCACGTTCTCGACTCGACGTGGTGACACCAGGACAACGGATTGAGCATGCGCAACATGTCTCCTCTTTGAAAATTTACTTCCTGTCGCGTCTTACAGCCGTCGCGTCTCGGATCTTAAAGTCCCTAAAGATGCAACGACGCGACGGCAGCGACAACAACTTCGCTTAAACAGTGAATTTGCGTTCTTTGCGTCTCTATGCATCAGTCAATTCCAGGTGCACCCCTACCCCAACCTTAGGCAAGTGAGGGACACTTTCCCGAGCACATCTGGAATTGACGGATGCATTATCGCGATTAAAATTCACTTCCACTTCAAATTGATGTAGGCGAACCATTCTAAAGTTGAATTTCCAGGTACCATATCCAGGTTTAGACAAACAAATAAAATTTTCTTCGGTGATTGTTTACATTCTCCATAAAAAGCGGAATTAGGCATTTCACTGACGTCGTAGTAGTGCAAAAAGGGCGAAGAAATGTTCAAAAAGTGTGATACTCGTGCAAAGTTGTTGTTTGCTTATTAAATCTATACGTTGTTTTCTGACGTTTTCGTGACGGTGGTAGTCCCCTATTGACACTGATTGACGTAAACTGTCAAAATTGACCAATCATAGGGTATAACAGGAGGTGGTATACCAAAATGTGGTACTGAAAACAATGCTTACAGGCTCTGTTTATCCTTCTCTCCCCATCTCCCCCTCGGTTCTCGCACAACTGTTCTCGATGTGCTTTGCCTGGAACAGGCTAACTACTTTTTTTTTCCGAAACAGTTCATTATTCCCAGTGAAAGTCAGTGTTGTTCGTTATTCCGGTTCTTGAATATTTATTATTCTTCTTTCACCGCTAGCCTGCAAGCAGGCTCGATCTCTGGGGCGCTCTGTCGGTGGGGCTTGAAAAGGAAGGAGAGCTTGAAACTACGTCTCTGGAATTTGAATATCTGCATCGAAAAAGTCAATGGAAAATGCTGATTGGCGGAGATGACATTAGTAATGACGTCATCACCCTTGGCACGTGTTTTTCAATGTTTGGTTACTTTCGCAACCGTTTCCGCTTTGCGCTGATTGGTGGAAATCTGACAGCTCAGTGGACGGGGAGCCACAGGGGAAATGGAGTTTGAATTAGAATTCCAGGGACTTAGTTGCAAGCTCTCCTTCCTTTTCCCGCCCCGCCGCCACAGCGCCCTAGAGAGCTTTCTCGCAGGCTACTTTCACCCCCGATTCATCAAGCCTTCAGTCAACTTTTACATTGTGAAGGCGATCTTACACGCGGCGATTCGAAGAGACTTTTTTCAGTGCAACACATTATTGCGACAATGCTGCCACGACATTGTTTCGAATTATGACAACAGTTTTCCAACATTGTTACCCTAAAAATCGTCGTTGTACAGAAATAGTCTTGTGAAAACTTACCTTAATAACCTGAATATCAAACGCAATCCACCAGTTTTTTTGAAAAGGTCACGGAATACTTTCAGAACTTTTAAAAATCTTTTATCATTGTCACAGTACAGAGACCTGCCAGTGACCTATTTCCATGCTGACTACATTTAATGGGAAATAATTTTTTTGTTGATAAGTGTATTTTTGGCCTGACAGTCAGGTCGGGAATATCACAATTTACTTATTAGATCTATCCTCTTTTTCCCCAGCTGCTAGTCCTGGTAACCACCCTGGAACAAACGCTTTGTACAAAATGACAGCTAATCCAAGAGGAATGACACTGATCATTAATAACAAGTTGTTTAATGATGGGAAGAAGAAAACTCGCAAAGGGTCCGAAAAAGACGTTGATCTGGTTAAAGCGTTGTTTTCCGATCTCGGTTTTATGGTACAAACCGAAGAGAATCTTACAAAAGAAGACATGACGAACAAAATTGATGACGTTGTCTGCCAAGATCACAGTTCTTATGATTGTTTTGTGCTGTGGCTTATGAGCCATGGCGAGAGTGGTAAAGTGATGTGTTCTGACGGAAAAATGATTCTTATTGACACTCTTCATGAAATGTTCAGTTCGTGCTCTACTCTAGGCGGCAAGCCAAAGCTCTTTTTCATCCAAGCATGTAGAGGTGATGAGGAAGATGAGGGAATGTTAGTTACCACTGATCAGAATACTCCCGATATTTCAGCTTACAAACAGCTCAATGACAGTAACGAAGCAAATAAAGCTGTTTCCCCCGGGGGCTCAGTGAACAAAAAGGCAACCATAATACCCAAGAATTCAGATTTTCTGTACGCGTTTTCCACAGTGGATAATTTTGTGTCTTTCAGGCATGAGGAACAAGGAAGCTACTTTGTTCGAAATCTCGTTGAAGTCTTCCATGAATGTGTGGCAAATGATCACCTTCTCGACATTTTAACATCTGTCAACCAGAAAGTCAGTGAGGAAGCGTTTAAGTTGCAGTTATCAGGGCAGGATAAAATGAAAATGTGTAAACAAATTCCGGAAGTTAGACATACCTTACGGAAAAAACTTCGTTTCTAGACCGGTAGCTTTGTGTTGGGCTCAGTCTTGCTGCCTTGCGGCTCGTGCAGAATCTCGCGCGCTTTCTCCCGTTGTCTCCATCCTAATAGGAGAGCTGAGGCTATTCTTTTCACGCATTCGGCAGAACCTGTAAACTTAAATTTGTTTTGGCGTCTGCTTTTTTTCTTGGAGAGAAGGGGCAGTTCTGGAAATACGACTGCGTTGGCAGCGCTATTTTTATTTTTTACGTCTTCTGAGCCGTCGAGCAAAGAAGTGATATGGCTGTTTTAAGACGGTTTTCCATTGTTTTTATGTCTAAAGCTGCATTTCTGTAGCCAGTGGAAGAAGATGTCGCAAGCAGTTGAACATGTAACGTAATTGTAGCTCCTTCATTATTACTTGTTCTGGATGGTTAGTCATATGTTGATTTAAGCATAAATGTATTAAAAAACAAGACTTCTAATATAGCTTGTAGAGCTGAACTTGGTCGTTTTCCTTTTAATATCACTATCAATCAAGAAATCCTCGACTACATTTTGTATATTGAGTCTCAATACAAGAAGACGAAGACGGAAATTCACCAAAATTTCCTAGATTGAAAAAACGATATTAAGTAGCCTCGTGATAGGGTAAATTGAGTTATTTGGAAATTGCTTCATTATTCGTTTATTTATCAGGATTTTTTTAAGGTTTGCGATTTATGTGCGTTTTCAATTATTTGAATTCAAACATACAGAATTTTTTGTTCTCACGGAGGTAATTTGTCGAACACAATGTTGGAGGGCGACCCGAAAACACTGACCCCCGGTCCACGCCCCCCCCCCTCCCACGCTACAGACCGGTCTACGGACCCCCCACAAAAAGACGCAATAAAAATGACAATGAGAGATTTGACTTGCCGTTTGTTTTTTGTTTCGCGTTGGCGAAAGTTTGACTGTTGCGCTGCCCAAATATTGCAAATATTGCTTTGGCGATGACAGGAAAACCTGCGCACAGGAATGGTGACTTTTCCCCCGGGACTTTTCTATACCCGGATCGCATGCTTATTAGGCTACAATATACTAATAGGCTACACTAGATTAATAGCGCCCACGTCATGTTCGGGAGTCACGCAATGAAATATGTAAACCGAGGTCAAGCGCGGATGCTAAGCTGACGGCAGGAAAAGTAAGCTAATTGATATCTCCACTGAAACATTTTGCTGTCCTGATGTTTCTCAAACAATATAATAATTTCAGAA